CCAGGCCGGTCTCTCCTCGGGTTCTGTTGTTCAGGGACAGTGTCAGCCCTTGTTCTCATGTGGCTGCTGTCACTGCAGTGACTCAGGACAGGGACCCAGCCAACAAATTAAATAAACGGGAAGGAATATGGGAGTCACTGAAATCAGGGAAGGGAGAACGTGACCTAACTTCACCAGGCTGAGCTCCTTTGAGTTCTCCATCTTGGGGAAGATATTTGGAGCAGTCTGGAAGGCGTTTCCAGGCTCGGATCTTTACCAAAACATTCCTGTGGGTTCCGGAGTATCCCTGTTGCTCATCAAGTGCCACACATCCACAGGAATGGGCTGGATATGCTGGGGTGCTGCAGAATCTGGCTTTTCCCAAGAGGCAGAGGGAGGGAAGAGCTTTGCACTTTAGATATCCAGAGGGGTTACACAAGCTCATCATGATGTTTACTGTTCTGGTTTTGTGTTTTCCTAGCAGAGGAATCCCCCTTTCTCTGGGATTATTTTGCAAGATGTTAACAGTTACTGAAAATTATGGACAGAGTAGTACCAGAAGCTTTACCATCTCTGCCACAAGTTAGCATCCATGGAGCAGAAATGGATATATGCTGCTCTGTGCTGTGCTCAGCCAGGCTGTCTGTTCTGGGGGCTGTAGGCCTGGGGAGGGGCCTGGGAGCGATTCATCCCGAGATCGGCTTTTGTTCTCCTCTCTTCTGTCCACTCAGCCACTCTTCTTCATAGCCAAATGGCTTTTTAAGAGCTTGTGAAGCTGAGCTAAGAGGAGCACCACCTTCAGTGTTAGTCAGCCTGACAACAAGATCCAGCCTCGCAGAGCACACCCTGGGAAGCACAGGAAGAGGGGAATGAGAATCCCTGAGCATGGAAGGAAAGTGGGGAAAATGTCAGACAGCTGCAGCACTGCAGAGTGTGGAAATAGTAGCACAATAGTTAAGCCTAAACCTTCAAAGTCCTGAGTACCCTTAACTGTCATTGATTGCTGGAGAAGTTCTCTCCTGGGAAACATTAAGAATTTTATTGGCATACGCCAGTTAAAAGAGCTGTTAGGAATCAGGGCTCCTTGGCATCATGCACTTGGACTAATTACTTTCCAAATGTATTATTTAAAATAACCCTAATCCAGTAAAGTGGGCTGCCTTATTCAGAAACCCACTGGCTTTTCTGCAGAGTGGGATGAGAGCATCCAGAGGATGCTGCTCTGTGCCGACAGCGAGGCTGGAATTGTTTGCCTTTGACAATTTAAAGCCACCCGGGAGTCGCTGATCTTTCAGGGCAGGAGCTCTGCAGGTTTCTTCTTTCCCTTCCGCTATTTATTGCACTGCTCGGGGAAAAATGATCCAGCTGTTGGTTTTGGCCTGCAAATGGAGAGCAGAGCTGTCGTCTGGCGCCCGGTCATCCACCTGCGGGAGCCTCAGCTCTGCCCCTTCATTCACTCTCTCCTGTCCGCAGGTTGACGGGCTGCTCTTCTATCACAGGCAAACCCACTACACCCCTGGCAGCACCCCGCTGGTGGGCTGGCTCCGGCCCTACATGGTCCCCGAAATCCTGGGGCTCGCCGTGCCCTCCACCGCGCTCACGGCCAAACCGAACTATGCCGGGCGGCAGCTCCAGCAGATCATCGAGAGCAAAAGGAGTAAAAAGCTGGCGGCGGAAAAGGGCGACCCGAGCAGCGTGGCGGCCACAAAGAACGGACGTTACGAGCTGGAACACTTGTCTACCCCTGAGCCAGAAAAGTCTCTGGAGGGCCAGGACAGAGCCGTGAGCCAAATGGAGAGTTAAGATGCTGGGACAGGCCAGCTAGGGAGGGAGCAGGGAAAAGGTTCCCTGCTTCTCTCTGTCCCTCGTGCTCCTGAGAGGGGGCAAAGTAATGATAATAGGATAGCTTTGTTTCAAGGGCATGACAGTGGAATATCTTGCCCCGAGGGCTGGATTTTTTTTTTTTAAATTTTTTTTTTTTTTTTTTTTTGCTAAGGCTTCTGTGAGTCCTCAACAGGATTGTCTGGTTCTCTGCTAAGGCAGTCGTGCATTGGGACGTGCTGCAGGGATACAGTTCAGCTCCTGACCCTGCTTCTGCTAAAGGCCTGGCAAAGCTCCAGCATAGGAACAGTGCTCAGACCTCTGAGGTGCAGCTGCTGCTCATGACCCCAAGCAGCAGCCCCACCTTCCTGACCCCAGAAGTGGGGGCTTCTCAGCCTTTGATCCAGCTGTTTTCTGAGGCCTTCGCAATGAAAGTTTTGTGGTCAGTCTGCTTCTTACTAGCAAAAAGTTGGCAGTGAGCTTCTGTAATTCCAAAGGGTGGACTTTCCACACCCACATGTTCTTAGGATAATATAAATTTTCCTTGCATCGCAGCAGGACCTGCCTTGGAGCAGGGCTTTGTGCAGCGTGAGTGCAGCAGAAGCCTCTCTCTCCTCAAGGCTTTTCTCAGTGGGGGGAGGAAGGAATGGCTTCGCTCTGAAAAACACTACCATTGATTGTGCCAAATAAAAGGTTTCTCAGAAAGACAAATTCTTGAGCGTCTTCCTGCTACCTAAGGGTGGATGCGTGCTGTGCCTCCCAAATAGGGATTGAAAAATCAGTTCCAGCGCTGACTGGAGCAGAGGAAACGCTTACGTGGGTTTGATTCTCTGCACACTGAGTTAGTTTGGTCCCTTCTCCTGTCCCTCTCATCCCAGCCCAATCCCACTTCTTTTAAGCGCTGGCTGCTCCCTCTCCCTGCCTTTAGGAGGATGAAATGATTGCCCTCAGTGTCACCAGGTTGGTTTCCAGAGGGAGATTAAAAAGGGAGATGAAACACCAGGCTAAAGGCGGTATGGGGGACTTTTCTCCCAGCTCTCTAGGGAAATGCCCCTGGAGGAGATAAGGAGAGTGGGGATGACCACCTGCAGATAGTGGGGGTACATGTATCCTGCCCTCACACTCCTGCTTTTTCCCAGAAAAAGGCTGGTTCTGTGCCAAGCATGTGGGCTGTGTGTGACCATCTGGCTGGGCAACCACTATTGATTACACCAGCGGGCAGCAGGAACTGTCCTGGATGCAGTGGGGGGGCTTCCCCAGGAGGGAAGTGGCACCCTCGGCTCTGCAGTGTTTGGAGCTGTCTCTTTCCAACAGCTGCTTATGTTATAATGTTCAGTTGTTGTGTTTTTTTGGCATGTGAAGCAGCTGGCTCAGGGAAAGACGACAGACACCTGGACTGCCTTATCCTCCCCATCCCTCAAAGGTACCCACCTTCAGCCTCTCTGGTAGGCAGAGATCTGCAGGGAGAGTGCTGAACAGGAGACTGCATCCAGCCTCCCGTCAGCGCAGTTTTCCTTCCGTCAGGCAATTAAACCCGGAGGTGGACATCTGGATGGAAGATTTGTGCATCCCTTAAGGCAGAGAAAGCTGCACTCAGGTTACTGCCCTCCAGCAGCCTTCCAAGGTCCTCCAGCCAAGGGAAGGAGAGGAAATACAGCCAAAGAGGGGCTGTGTGCTCTGACGGATGGAGGAGAACAAGAGGGAAGCGACTGCCGGCTCCAGATGATGCCTCATAGTTTCTCTTTTAAAAGCATGAGCTGTGCTGGTGAAATAAATATTTGCATTACAATTCCTGTTGGGAACCAAAGGCTGTGTTTGGAGAGAGGGTGTCAAACGGAAGTCGCCGGGGCCAGTGCAGTTTGATGCTGTGACTGTTCTGTTTGCTGGGTGTGATCCCGTTCCCAGTTGGAACAGGCAGCAGCTCCAACGGAGGGGGTCACGCCCCCCATTCCCTCCCCGGCAGCTGAAATTTGGCCTGGGGCAGGAGAGCTGAGCCGGCAGCTCGACTTGGAGACGTGGTCTGGGTCTCCGGGGGACAGAACCAGCCTGGAGCCCTCATCCAGACGGGGCTCAGCCCCTTCCCTTTGCCTTTCTTCCATTTTCTCCCAGTTAGGTGCACAGGCTCCGGCTGTGGGCACGCTGCCAGCGCAGTGCTCCTCGGCTGAACAAAATGTCCCCTTGTCCCAGGGCCTGGCTTTTTGGTGGGACTGCTGCTGTGCTCTTCGGAATTTCCCCGCTCCTTCCCGGAGGAGCTTCGGGACTCTCCATCCAGGCGCTGACACCTGCGCCCAGCCGGGAAATGCAATTTACGGATTGCAGAGGAGGGAGTGGAAAGAGGCGCCTGGAAATCCCAGACTGCTGGTCGTGGCGGGGGGGGGGGGAAGGCCGCGAGGCTGGAATACCGGCAGGGGAAAAATGCTGTGCCGGGAATCTCATCCAGCACCAGCAGGAGAGGAGGATGCTGCCACCATTTTAGCGGCGGCGCTCCCGCCCGCCGCGGCCGGAACTGGGGCTGGGGGAGCCGGGGCGGAGCGGGGCGGGGGGCGATCGGGCCCCTCCAGCCCCATCCCGGCCGCTGCCCCCCGCTCGCCCCCCCCCTGCCGGAGAGGCCTTCCTGTCCCCCGCCCGCCCTCCGGGGCTGGCCGAGCCGCGGGGAGGGGACGGAGAGGAGGGATCGGGGTGTGCGGGCGCTTCCTGCCGCCGCCCCCGCCGGGGCAGAGCGGAGCGGAGCGGGGCGGGAGCTCGGCCCGGCCCGGCCCAGCGGAGCGGCGCTCCCGGTCCGAGCCAAACTTCCTGGGGTGCTCAGACATACACGCATATATATATATATATATATATATACATACTATATATATATATTATAAAATATATCTATTATTTTTTATTTTATTTTAATTTTTTCGGCGGGGCCCCCGGGGCGGAGCCGCCTTCGCCGCCGGGAGGGGCCGGTGCCCGCAGCGCCGGGGATGGGCTCCGCCGGGGCGCCCGCCGCTTAGACCGGCCCGGCTCGGCTCATCCCGGCCCGGCTCGGCTCATCCCGGGCCGGCCCAGTGCGCAGCATGGCCGCGGAGCTCAGCGCCGAGGAGGAGCAGGTAGGTCCCGCCGGGCTCCCCTTCCCCGGGCCGCGCTGGGCAGGACCCCGAGCGCTGCACACATCTCCCCCACACCCCCTCCCGCCGCTCCTCTCCCATCGTTTTTTTTGGCTACCCCGGATTGCAGGGCTGGTTTTTTTCCCAGCGGGGCGGTTCGCCCCGTGGGAAGCCCCCCCACCCCATCCACCCACGCAGCGCCCCCAACCCACGCGGCGCGCACCTTACAGCCCCCCACATCCACGCAACTCCCCCAGCGTCCCGCGCTCCAGAAGCCCTTGCAGGGGGCCGCGACATGGGTCCCACACCCCCAAAACAGCGCGTCCCCTCCTGGCAGGCCTCCCTGCCGTGGGCAGGCTGGCGTGGGGATGATGCGTGGGGATGTGTGTGCACGCGCTTCCCACGCCCCAGGCCTCCCGTGACGTCCCGGCTTCCTCCGCCGGCCTTGCGTCACCGCGGGAGGATGTTGCTCCCCGGGCTCGGGGAGCGGGGCCCAGGAGCCAGCGGGGGCACCTCGGATGGCCGGAGCAATCCCTCCTTTGTCCTCATCCCCGGGCTTGCCCACCCGGCTGAGCCACGGCCGCTGGGCTTCCCTCTGGATGGGGATGCGGAGCCTGGGAGCGGGACTGGGCGTGCTGCTGGAGGCTACCTCTGCCCCGCGGCAGTGCTCGGGCTGTCACATCGGCCACCTCGGTGGCGTTGGGGAGTGCCACGCGTAGGCGAAAAGGTCCGGTCTTCCTTCCAAAATGGTTGGTTTTCCAGTTGTTCGGTCGGTTTTCTCCTTTAAAAATCCTTCGTTCCCTAGGTTTAGGAGAGTTGGGATGGAGATCTCGAGTTCCCAAAACCCCCGTGGAGGAGCCCCTCCTGCAGCCTACGCTGGTGCTCAGGAAATGCAGGCTTTTTTCCTCCTGGGAGCAGTACTGCTATCTCCAGGGTGATAAAATCCCAAGGAGTGGGGGATGTTCTTGCCCTCCATCCCCGCAGGTGCCTGAGATTTGTTTTTCTTCTGTGATGTGAAGGCGGCAAAGCTTCCAGCAATGGGGCTATAACGGAGCCTGCGGGGGCAGGGAGGGTTGGCTTGCAGCAGGAGCTGTAACTGGGCCCGTGTCCCGGCAGGGGGATCTGAGATGTTTGGTTCATGCAGGAATATTGGATGGAGAAGATTGAGGTATGTTTGCAGTAGTGGCTCCAGGTTTGGATCATCATCCTGGGGTGGGGAAGGCTGCCTTCGGTGCTGCCCACGGTGGCTTGGAAGCCAAAATAGTGGAAGCTTCCCTCCTTTCTTGGGTGGTTTGGGCTGGGACATCCCCTTCCTGCCACCCCTTCATCCTTTTCATGACCATCAGGATTTACTCCGCTCTCCCCTATTACTGACAGCAAGGCGGGGGAAATTCACCCCTCTCCTCTCCCTGCAAGTCTTGGGACATCTCTGCCCGCTCTCTGCAGTTCCCTCCCTAGCTTATCCCAGAGGAGCCAAACCATTTTCCCTTGAGGTTTTCAGCCCAGCTGAGGTTTCACAGATTTATCCCCCCCTTCCCCAGGCTGAAGAAGAAGGGTAGTTTTGCTGCCTGGGGGAGGAGGGCTGGAAGAGCCCCCGTGTTCCAGCGGCGGTGGCTTTGTCACCACCCTGCCGCGGCACAGCAGAGCGGGGACACGGATGACGCCAGCACTCCAAAGACCAGCATTGTTCCAAACGCCCGGCCACAGACAATTTCGCTCACAGTGCTGCCGGAACAGGGCTTCTTGCGGCAGGTCTGGGTCATGGGCTTTGTTTTGGCGTGTGGAGCAATCCATGCTCCACGAGGATTGATACACGTATAAGTCCACCTAGGATCAGGGCTAGGAACAGATAATGAGACCCAACAGAGTGCTCGAAGGGGGCAGAGCTATGGTTGACAGCGCCTGGCTCCCTGCTGTTGAATGCCGGCACTGGTAAGTTTGGAATTTGGTTTTGTTCCCAGGGAAAGCTGGAATTCATGGCTGAGCTGCCCTGCAAAGCCAGCGCTTGTTCTTGCGCATCTTCCCCCTTTCAAAAAGCCTGGCATCCCTCGTGATGGATGCTGGAAACAGGACTGTGTGAAGTGTGACGGGTTAGATGTTGAGGAAGGAGACCTGAACCACGTGTTGCATCCTCTCCTCACTGCCACTGTGTCCCTTAGCCCCTCTTCCCATCATCTGGGGACTCCCATCATCCTGGGGTATCATTACCATCCCAGGCTGCAGTGTCAGGTCTCTGTCCAAGAGCAGTGGGACTGTACCTGGTGCTCACTTCCATCTCTGGGCCATCCTGCACATGCTGGGGAAGGAGCATCTCCACTGTTATTTTGGGTTTCCATCCCCAGCCTTAGATTCTGGGGATGCCCCGGAGGAGCAGAGGTACAGCCAGGATGTATTGAATAGGATATATTTATGGATAAGTTGTATTCCTATATGCATACATGTGGATGTGTGCTGTGTTAAGGCTGAAGATGGTTCCTGTATTGGCCCATTTATTTTCCCATATGCTCTCCCGGGAGTTAGGGTGCTCCTGGCTGTGATGTGCTGGGGGAGAGACCCCTCAGACGCGCTGGGGTCCTTCAACTCATCCCATGAGAAGGGCTCACTGCCCCTGCTGAGCCTCGTGCCGCCGATAAACCCCAGCCCTTCGCTTCCTCCTGTCGGAAGTCATTAACACCAACAACCTTTTCTGGCTCAATAGCTCCCAGTAGCTCTGAATAGCTCCCAGTAACTTTGTGCCGCTGCCTGACATCCAACACCACCGTCTGCCTACGCTCCCTGCTCCCGGAGCCAGCCTTCAGCACTCCCTGTCCCTCCTCCTCCTTGGATGACATTGCCATCCTCCACTCTAGAGAGAATGGAAACTCCTCCATTTTGGGGTGAGGCATTTTGGGGACTCCCTCTGTCCTGCCTGTATCCTTTGAGCAGGATGTGGTGGAAGGCTGGGCTGCGCTGCCCCATCTCCCCTGGGGCTCCTGTGTGGGACAGGGGATAAATATGCAGCAGAAAGCAAAGCTGCATCCTGGGACCCTCCTGGTCTTCCGTGGTCGTGTGAAACTGGTGTTACTGGGTCAGCTGGTCCATGTCCTGTAACAGGTCAAAGTGTCAGCCCTCTGTGCTCTTTACGTGTGTTCCCACAGCCAGGTTCGCTGCTCCACGGAGGAGCTGCAGCCCCAGGAGCTGCCAGCTGCTGCCAGGTGATGGGTACCTGCTGTGCTGGTTTTGCTGTGTCTGAATGGGAGTTTGGTGCCTGTAAAATGCTCCTCTTGCTCCCCCTTTCCCTTCCATGAGCCCCGAGGCCATTTTTCCTACCACTTTCTCCCTTTCCCATGCTGGTATTTCCCTTGTCTCCATCCCCACTGCTCTCACTCCTTTTGTTGTGGAGCTCTCCACCCTGAGGAGCTGCCGGGTTTGCTGAGGACTGTAGCTCCCACCATGACCAGGGATGCTCCTCGGGCTCTCCTCTTCCTCCCACCCTGTCTCACTGCATGCCCCTGGCCTCTTCCACAGGCAACCAAGCAGTTCCTGGAGGAGATCAACAAGTGGACAGGCCAGTATAATGTGTCCCCGCTCTCCTGGAACGTGGCTGTCAAGTTCCTCATGGCCCGCAAGTTCGACGTCCTGCGGGCCATCGAGCTCTTCCACTCCTACCGGGTAAGTGAGCGGGGCTGAGACCACCCTGGCCAAGGGATTCTTGCTCTGTGGGAGATCCCTGCTCCTGAGGACTACCCTCCCCCTGCTCTTTTTTCTTTTTCCCACTTCCCATCTAAGTTTTATCCAGCTGGAAAATCCTTTTTCAGCCATGGCAGGTCACCATGGAGATCTCGCTGAGCCCAATCCCCTCCCCTGTGCTGAGAGCAGCTCACAAGGTGCCCTCCCGACCCATGTGCTGCCCATAGGCTGTCTCCCCGTATATTAAGGATTTAGATCCACACAGGTCCTTCCCAGCCTGGTTTTGCAAGGCTGCTCCTCCCCATGCTGGGGTGCGTGCTGGAAAATGGGCTCATGGAGCAGAGGTTCCCTTGGAGGGCTGGGTGCCCTGTGGGGCTGTGGTGGTGGGCAGACAGCTGGGGTGCCCGTGCCCCCTGTCATGCCAGCTCCCTGCCCACAGGAGACACGGCTGAAGGAGGGAATTGTGAAGCTGAAGCCACACGAGGAGCCGCTGCGCTCGGAGCTGCTCAGCGGGAAGTTCACCATTCTGGTAGGTGGCGTGTACCTCCCCAAATTATCCCAACTGGGTGGCTCATCCTTGCTCCGTTCCACGTGGGTGCTGCAGAAGCCTGACCCTGTTTCCTCGGCAGAGCGTGCGGGACCCCTCGGGAGCCTCTATTGCCCTGTTCACAGCCAAGCTGCACCACCCCAGCAAGAGTGTGCAGCACGTGGTGCTCCAGGCACTCTTCTACCTGCTAGACCAAGCCGTGGAGAGGTGAGCCTGCCTCTGCCAAGGTACCCTGTCTCACACTGGTGGGTCCCTGGGCAGTCCCTTCCCTCCCAGGGTGGTCACTGCTCCCTGTGGCTTGAAATTCCCTGATTTGAACTCCAGCCCCTCTTCCCCATGGAGGCGTTCAGCCAGGGAACAAAATCCCCCGTGCCCTGAACCCAGGCCCTTTTGCAGCCTTGCCCTGTCTACGTCCTGGGTTCAGTTTAGGAAAGCCCCAAATCCCTGCAGGCTTTGGCTGGGGAGGAGGCAGCCCTGCCATCAGCCAGGCGTAATGTGAGTCCTGACAAAAATATGAAGCCGGGACATTCCCCTAAATCCCCCCTCCCCTATGGGCTCTTTCTGTTTTTGACCTTACCCATCACGGGGCATAACACTTAGACAGGCTTAAGGTATGAGCCAGGCTTAAATGAAGGTTGTAGGAAGAGGTGTGGTGGAGCAGCTGGAAGTGCAGAAGCGAGGTTTGGGTCCATGAGTCCTTCTGGAAGCACAGAAAGGGATTTTTAGGGGTCAGTGTGGGGCAGAGCTGCTGCTGCTGCAGGAGTCAGGTGTTTGCATGTTGTGGGGTTGATATTGCTCTTTCCTCTCTCTCAGCTTTGAGACGCAAAGGAACGGGCTGGTGTTCATCTACGACATGGCGGGGTCACAGTACACCAACTTTGAGCTGGATCTCAGCAAGAAGATCCTCAACCTGCTTAAGGTGATGTCCGGGGTGACCCTGTGTGCAGGGACAGTGCCTGGGCCGCTTGCTCACTGAGAACCTGAAGACCTGTGGTTTTGGCATCAGTTTTTACCCCAGACCATGCTGACCACGTCTTGGCTGAGGAGCACAGGCTCCAGCCCTGCAGGACCTCAGGAAGGCACTGGGAGCCTGCCAGGCTGGACCCGGCTGAGGCTGTGGTGTCCCACGGGCAGAAGAGATCAGCTGTCCCCGGGCCAGATTCCTCTCACAGCTGCTGGCAGCGCTTTTGGGAAAACAGATGCAAATTATTTTTTAATCATCCTGGCATTTGGTGCCTTCTCTGGAAAAAAACCAATAACAGTAAATGCTGGCCGAAGTGTGTTCTCTGCACAATCCCAATTCCTGGTCCTCACCTCTCCCCTGCGGAGACAAACCCTCTGCCTACCTAATTCCAAGAGATTTGGCACATAAAAACAAGCACAACCATGAGCGTGCAAGGCGCGCTTTGGGTGTGGCGTTGCCACCGCGGGGTCCTTTTGCTGCTTGTCACCTCTGCTGGGACGTGTCCCCTGCCACAACAGAGTGGATCTGACCCCCTCCTCCTGCCTGCAGGGTGCCTTCCCAGCTCGGCTCAAGAAAGTTTTCATCGTGGGAGCACCCATGTGGTTCCGTGTGCCCTACTCCATCATCAGCCTGCTGCTGAAGGAGAAGCTGCGGGAGCGGGTGAGTGGGAACCCCCCTGGCACAGGACCCTCGGCAAGGGAGGGCTGAGGCTGCTTTTCCTTTGGGACAGGATGGTGGAAGCAGCTTGTGCCGCTCAGCCCCACCTGCTGGAAGCCGCTGAGCACCAGACCTTTGGCATCCCTGTCCCGAACCCCAGAATCCTCTCCAACTTCCTTGGAGTCACCCCTGCCTTTCCTCTCCCTCATACAGGTGCAGATGGTGAAGATGTCGGAGCTGAAGGAGCACCTGCCCCGGGAATGCCTCCCCGAATACCTCGGGGGGTCCCTCAAACTGGACCCTCTGAGCTGGAACTGCCGGTTCCTGCCCCAGCAGAATGGGCATCCTGACCCCCTGGACGAGCTCATCCTGGTGCCGCTGGCGGCCCCCAAAGATAATGGCTCCGTCCACGTCCCTGGGCCCAAGTCCATGACCCTCCAGGAGCTGCTGGATCATGTCAGTCACAAGCAGAAACGGGGCATCTACGAAGAGTATGAAGATATTCGGCGCAGGAGCCCAGCTGGCACCTTTGTCTGCTCTTTGTGAGTTGGGGGAAAGGAGTCAGGGGCCCCTCTCGCCCCAGAAAGCTGAGCACCCCCCTCCCCACACTTCTGGATGGTGGTCCATCAGCCTCTTTAGGGTGTGGTACTTTGGGTTAGCAACAGAGAATCCTGGCCTAGGGATGGTGTGAGCCCCCTTTCTGGGTCCTGCAGCCCCCCGGGGTAGGAGGGAGCTACAGGGAACTGCAGGGACCAGGAACTAGCAGGGACTCCACCTCCTGAGGATTTGGCCAGGTGATGGCAGCAGAGCCTCGGCTACAGGCTCCAGAGATTCGTGCAGAGGGAGGGCATGCTGCCTTTGCCTTCCCTGCCTGGAAAACATCCCTGCTTCCCTCTTCCCCTCCCTCCCAGGGCACCCTACAACCAGGAGAAGAACCGGTATGGGGACGTGCCCTGCCTGGACCAAACCCGTGTCAAGCTGGCAAAGCCGTACAGTCGCCCAGAGGTGAGGCAGCCTGGGATGGAAACTCGCAGTCCTGCGGGAAGCTGAAGCAGCCATCCTGGACGCAGGGTTCTGGAAGCCTTATCTCATCCATGCTTTTTCTCCCTGCAGCTGACTGACTACATCAACGCAAGCTTCATGGATGGCTACAAGCAGAGGAACGCTTACATTGGCACTCAGGGTATGGCCTGAGCCTCTGAGAGGTTATTCTGCTCCTGATGCAGCTATGGGCTTCACCTCCCTGTCCGGTGGCAGCCACCAGCTGTGCTGGGGGACATTCCAGGAGAAGGACACTGCCCGGCAGGTCCCCCTTCTCTCTGGGTATATTTACTCCTCCCTGGGTATATTTATTTCCCTCCCAGTCTCCAGCCAGGGGGGAGGGGAGTTTCTCCGGGGAGAGAGGGAGTGGATCCATCCTCCTCCATCCATGATAGCAGCCCCCTCCCTCCTGCCCCTATCCCGGCACTGGATTTGCCCTTTCTGCCCAGGGATGAGCAGAGATGGGGGATCAGTGCTGAGCTGTAGGGATTCAGTGCTGGGGGGGCAATCAGTGGCAGCTTCAGGCAGGGCAGGTGGAGCCACAGCTGGGTCAGTCCCAACAGGAAGGGACTGTCATTCCCTGTGGGGGTGGTGGGAGTGCTGGTGGAGCAGCTGGGCAAAGGGGTTTGCCCAAATCCATTAGATTTTGGGCTGAAGTGTGGGTTGTCGCCGCAGGGCCTCTGGAAAACACCTATGGTGACTTCTGGCGCATGGTGTGGGAGCAGAACGTCCTGGTGATAGTGATGACAACCCGGTGAGTGCTCATGGAGGGACACAGACCTCTTTTTCTGTGCAAAATGAGCATTTTTGGTGCGGGATGAGCAGTGCTGGGCTCTGACCAGTGACCCTGCAGCCATGGTGCCAGCCAGAGCCCCACAGTGGGGGGCATTGCGTCAAGTTCAGACTGTTTGGTCCCTGTGGGATTCCTGGAGAACCAAGGCTGAGTGGCATGGGACATGTCCCAAGCAGGGCAAGAAGGGCATAAACAGTTTGTCTTTTTCCTGCTCTCAGGCTAGAGGAGGGAGGCAGGAGGAAGTGTGGCCAGTACTGGCCCCTGGAGAAGGATTTCCAGGTGTGCTTCGGGGCCCTGACCATCACCAACCTGGGCGTGGAGAACCTCAGCCATTACAAGAAAACCATTCTGGAGATCCACAGCTCAGAGGTGCGTGGCCTCAGCTGCCCTGGGGGGAACAGCATGGGGGGCACGGGGGGTCCGAGGAGGGGAGAGGGTCTAATTCCCCTGCTTTCCCCAGACCAGGGAGCGGCGGCTGGTGTCCCACTTCCAGTACCTGAGCTGGCCAGATTATGGCGTTCCCTCCTCCGCTGCCACTCTCATTGACTTTTTGGGGGCTGTGAAGCAGCAGCAGAGGGTGGCTGTCAGCACCCTGGGACCTCGCTTCAAGGGTCACCCTAGGGGACCACCGGTCGTGGTCCACTGCAGCGCCGGCATCGGCAGGACAGGTAACGGGTGCAGTGCAGGTCTTGGGGCTGGTGAGATGACAAGTTCAGCTTCCCTGGGACATTTCCTTCCCCGGGGATCCACGGTGTGTTTGCAAGCTGGTTGACCTGGGATGCGCGTCCTCAGGATTTACCGCAGCCATCGGACCTGGGAGAGTTCTCCAGATGGCCTGTGCGAGATCAGAGGGGGGCTGAGAACCACCACTCCAGTTCTTGCGAGGGGCAGTGATGGTGCGGTTTGGTGGCTGATGCCATCCCACTGTTGTTCCCAGGTACCTTTTGTGCTCTGGACATCTGCCTGTCGCAGCTGCAGGACGTGGGTACTCTGAACATCTACCAGACGGTGCTACGCATGCGGACCCAGCGCGCCTTCAGCATCCAGACCCCCGAGCAGTATTACTTCTGCTACACTGCCATCCTTGAGCACGCCCAGCGTGAGGGCCTGCTGCTCGCCAACCACAGCCGGGCTGCCCAGGAGAAGAGCTCGCCAGGGCACTGAGATCCCCCGCCTCCCTGCAGACACCCCCTTCCCATCCTCCGGGGGCTGCCTGAGCTGCCTTGGTGCCTGCCGGGACTCAGCTGAGCTGTTGGGGCGGCGGTGCCAGAGCACCTCGGCTGTCAGCACTGCTATGGAACTGTGCCTTATTCAACCCAAACAGTAGCTGCCACTCGCCGGCACGGGAAGGGCCTCTTGCTCCTCCCCGTTGTGTTTCGGTTGGGTTTGGTTGGTTGTGGAGGTGGTTTTGTCTGTCTCTTCAAGTTGGGAGGTTTTTTTTTATTTTATTATTTCGTTGTTGTTGGGACCACCTAAAGCTGTACCTAGAGAGGGGCTTTGCAAAGTCCTAGGAAATGTATTCCCACTCCTGGGGCTGAGGGAGAGGTGTGTGCTCTGGTCTCACCTGCTGCTCCCTCTGTGTGTCTGTATGTATGTGTGTATATAATATATCCCCGCTCTGCTCCCCCGGCTATTATATAGATACATATATACAAGCTCCCCTTTAGCAGCTCCTAAGGATTCTTGCTGTCCTGCCACCTCACTGCTGTGATCCCTGGAGCGGTGAGTTTGGTCCTGGCTCTGTCTTTATCTTCCCCCTTCCCCGTTTTTCCCCTCATGGGCAGCACTGGGACACGGTACTCACTCTCACGCCTGTCCCACTGGAGGCACGAGGATGCTTGGTGGTGTCCCCCCCTTTCCCTTGTCTCACCTTCCCTGTGGAGACAGCAGCTCTGCTCCCAGGAGGGTGTGGAGGATTTGGGTTGTCGGAGGGGTGTGAAGTGTGAAGCTCACAGGCATTCCCTGCCCCTTGGGGCACCGCCACAGGAGTCACTCGGTACGAGGTGATGAGGACACAGGGACCAGCTGGCTCACCAGGTTGCCTGGCTTTCCCAAGCCGCCACCGGGAACCCTCAGGCCCAGCCCTGCGTTGAGTCACAGGCCGGGAAAGTGCTGAGCAAGAATAAACCCCAAGCCCTGGAGAGGCAATGAGCCTTAGCCCCAGCCCCCACCACCACCTGGGCCTCCCCAACTTTATACTGTAATAAGATCTTTGAATGTGTATATTCTTATTTTTTTATAATCTTGGGGGGAGGGGGTAGTTTTTGTTTTGTAGTTCCTTTTTGTTTTTTTTTGTTTGTTTGTTTGTTTGCTTGTTTGGTTAAATTTTTTTTTATTTAACATTACCTTGATCCAAGCCAGAACCAGAAGTATTTGTAAATGTACCTATTTTGCTCTTGTTCAGAGAAACCTTTTTGTTGTTGTTCCTTTTTTGGGGGTTGTTTTGTTTTTATTTGTATTGATATATAAATATACTACCAGTGACCAGTACTCTTTGCTGTCATGGGGGCTTTGGGCAGGAAAGAAGGAGGAAGTTTAGGGCTTTGCACAGGCTGTGGTCCCCAAAAACAAGCTGGCTGCATCCCTGGGGACACACTGACTGTAAGGGGCATGAAGCTGTGTTTGGGGCCACTCCTGTCCTGGGTGAGGCTGAGACAGAGATAATCAGGCTGCAGGCAGCTTTCCTGGGTAAGCAGGATAGTGGCAGGAGGGAAAGCAGCACGATGGGCTGTGCCTGGTAGCTGGGGGGGGAAACAAGCCACCCTGCTCTGAGCTCCTGCCTCTCTTCCCAGGGCCTTGCCAAGCCCCGAAGCATCAGTCTCCTGTCTGGCCACCACCTCTGCCTGCTGCTGCCTTTCACTGCAGGATATGGGGTGAGGGCATTGCCTCTGTGCTGCTGGACCTGCTCTGAGCAGGCATGTAGGGCACAAAAATTAGGGGGAACTCCCGGGCTGCCAGCCAATTCCAGCACCTTCAGGTGCATGTGACGCCAGTTCCAGAGCAGCAGCTGCAGCCTGAGGCTTTGGGACGAGGGAAACAAAAGGGCAGCTAGTGCAAATGAAGCCCTGGAGTCAGTGAGAGAGCTTGTGCCCTAGAACAGGGCAGCTGGCAAGTGTGAAGAGCAGCACCTGTGTTTGCTCAGCTGGAGTCTGTCTGGGACTGGCAGAGAAAGAAGCTTTCCCCTGTGCTTTGGGCATGGACTGGCTTGGCTGTGCCAAACTGGGGCCAGACACAAGGGCTGGAAGGCTGGAAAAGAACCGGAGGCAGCAGGGAATCCATCTGGAAGGGCTGCTTGTCCCAGTGCCCAGGCGTGCATGAGAGGTGGGTGTTCTGAGCATCCCTAGAGTTGTGCACCTCCTGCCTGTGGAGTGGTTCTGTTTCAGGTGCAGTGTCCCGTCCTTCCAGGTACCATTTTCCACCCAGCTGTGTTTCCAGAGCAGCCTCAGCCCCGGCAGTGTGTCCTGCAGAGCAGCTCCTGCTCAGGCTGCCCTCGAGTTTCCTTGGGGGCACCCGCTGCAGGTTGGCTCCTCCTCTGAAGGAGGGATCACAGGGCCCTCCCTCCTTGCTGCCAAACTTCTTCACCCAGCTGGGTTTTCTTCTCCACACACATGGAGGAAGGGGGTATTTGCAGCTGCTTGTCAGACACGTGCTGTCAGCAGCAGCTCTTTGTGGCTCAGTGGGGCTTTTTGGCAAAGTGTCGGCTACAGATCTGAAAGCTGCAGGTGATGCCAAGTGTCCCGTGTGGCCCCGCAAATGTGCCCAGCCTCCCTTCCACAGGCAGCAAAATCCAAACCCAGCCCACACTGTGCGCATGGTAAAGGCGGTGGTTCCTTTTAGCCCAGTTCCACACTGGGCACAGAGAACCAAAACTTTTCCAAGGATCCCCACATCCTGGATGTCTGATAGGATTACTAGACAGAGGAGAGGGATGGAAATCACCGCCACCAGCTCTGAATGGGAACGGCTCAGATATGCTGCTGCCATAGACCTCAGCAGCTATCTGCCTTCAGGGAGGGATGAAGATCCCATCTGTGGCAGAGGAAAGGGTTGTAAGCCTTTTCCATGGACAAACAACCCACACACTCACCCCCTGTCCCCGACTATTTCCCAGGCTGTGTTTCTTGTCAAAACCAGCATTTTCGGTCCTCTTGCACAACACGAGCTTTTGTTCCATCCATTCCTTCTCCCTGTGCCAGCAGATCCTGCTCAGCACAGCAATGTGGATTTCTCTGGAATTCCAAGAATAGGGAATCCGAAGTGCTGCTCAAGTGTAGAAATGGGGATTTAAAGCCATTGCAGGGGAATCCCAAAGTGGCGCTGCCATCCCTGTGCCCACCTGTCTCATTTGGCTTTCTTGGCTGCATGCACACTGCCTCACTAATTATGATTACTTAACTGCTTGTAATTTTGAGTCCTGGGAGTTCGGGAAGCATCTAGCTCTGGAGCGCTTCATTTCCCAGCCCTTCTCCTTCTTTGCCTGTGCTTTCCAAGGCTCAGGCTCGATCTCCTGCGGCACATTACCCTGTGAAGGTTCAAAGAGCCCTTCCAGCAGCTAAACCGAGTTGCAGCTCCTGGACACATAGGAGAGACCCTGCCCTGCTGTGCCTGCTTGTCCTGGCAGCACCTGGCTGCCTGCTCCCTGACCAGGCTGAGAAAGGGAAAAACAGCGGGTAAGAAAAAAACCCGAGAGATTTAAACCTCGTTTGATGCTTGAAATACATATTTTAACAGAAGTGTGGAGCGTGTGTTCGTATTTCACCCGTCCTGACCACGCTCTGGACGCCCAGATGAGCACTAATGGGCGGTGAGGCCTGGCTCCTCCAGCCTCGGTGCGGGGAACCCAGCAACTCCCTCCACAACTTTCCGAAAGGAGAAAAACACGATAATTAAAGGCATTAACACCCCCACCTCCAGCTCGTGTTTTAGCGGACGGGACCGCTCGCCACCCCCGCGGTAATCCACTCCCGCCCTCCGCCGTGAGGCCTCCCCCTCACACCGCCCCCCCCGACCCCCGCCCCCGCCGTGGGCGGTGCGGCCGTGACGATCGGCGCGGCGGGGCCAATCCGCTCCGGGGGGAGTTCCCCCTCCATTCAGGGCTGCTCGCCTGCGCGTTGAGGGTATGTAACAGCTGCTTTCCCCACACACACACACACTCTTTCCCAGTTCCCCCCCCTCCTTCACGGGAATCGCTTCCCACGGGGCGGGGGGGGCTGGAAGCTGAGGGGGTGAAGGGCGGGAAGCGCGCGCGCGCTCCGGATCCCGCCGGCGGGAAGCGCGCGACGTGTGGCGAGGGGGGGGGGAAGCGAGTGACTGAGTGGGGGGGGGGGGAAGGGGGGTAGAGCGGCTGCCGCGCTGGCCACGCCCCCTCCCCGCCGCCCCATTGGCTGCCAAGGCGGAGGGTGACGCCCCCCTCGCGGCGCCGCGCGCGCACCGCCCACGCCCCCCCCCGCCCCCCCACTGCGTGCGTGCGTGAGTGTGTGAGTGTGTGTGTGCGTGTGTGCGTGTTTGTGTGCGCCGTGTCCCCCCCGCACGTGTAACCCACCCGCCCCACGTGGGGCGCCGCCATCCCGGAAGTGAAGGGGTCGGGGGACAAAAGGCGGGCGCCGCGCCGCCCGCCCCCCCGCTCTCCGCCCGGGCCCCGCCGCCAGCTCTCCTCTCCCGCCGCCCAGCTCGGCTCGGCGGCGGGGGGCGGACAGGGGGGCGCCGTTCGCGCGGGCCGCGGCCGCGATGTAAACATTCCACAAAAGGGCTCCCTAGAGAGGGGGGCGTGGCCTCGGTCGCGGGAGGCGGGGCCAATCCCGCCGCGTGGGCGGGCTCCCCGCTGTGACGGCGGCGCTGCCCCTGTCACCTATTGGCCGGCGCTCTCAGCCCGCAGCCAATCGGGCGGCGGAGGGGGCGGGACGGGGGCGGGGCGTGCTGCTTATACGGACATTTTTCTTCGGCGGTCGTTCCCCCCCCCCCCCCCTCCGCCCTCCCTTCCTCTCCACATCCCCTTCCTGGGGGCCGCGGCCAATAGGGGAGGTCTTGGTGGGCGGGGCCAGAGCGCCCATTGGCCCAGAGGGTGACGGGCGTCCGCCTCGCCCAACGGGCGCTCGGGGCTCCCCCCCTGCGCGGGGAGGGGCGGGATTTCCCGGGGAACAGAGAAGCGGGCAGCGCTCCGCCGCGGCGGCCGACAGACGGTTACTCCATCTTACCCCCCCCCGCCGAGCCCCCCGCCCCGCCGGGGCACCGGCGCCCACCCCGCCCGCCCCCCCCGCTCCTGGAGGAGGGGCGCGGGGACCTCCCCGCTCACCGCGCCGGGGACAGCCCGCCCCCGCCGCCCGCCCCAGAGGGGCCCGCCGCCCCCGGACCCTGAGGGAGACCCGGCCGCCGCCAGGGCCCGCTTCGAGGTAAGGCAGAGCGGGACGGCGGGGCGGGGTGCCCGCCAGGCCCGGGGCCGGCCCCCTCCGGCGATCCACAGGGGGCGGGGCCCGTTGCCGGTGCGGCGGCGGAGAGGGGCCGGGGGATGGGGGGGGAGGGGGGAGGGTGCCGGTCGGTGCCCGCGGCGCGGCTCCCCGGGGAGCCCCGGCCCGCGCGGGCGGCCGCGCGTCCTCCCGCCCCGCCCCGCCCCGCCGGGGTGTCCCGGCCCCGGCATGGCGGGAGCGGCGGGCGGAGCGTGCGGCGGCCGCTGGGCGCGCTGCGAGCCGGGCGCCGCCTCCTTCCCCCCGCCCCTCCGCCCGCCCTCCCTCTGCCCGGTGCCGCTCCCGGGCTGCGGCGGGACCGCCCCCGGCAGCGCTGGCCCGCATCGCCCGGCCCCGGTACCGGCCGCGCCGCGAGCCGGAGGGGGCGCGGGGCTCCCTGCGCTCCGGTGCTCCCTGGGCTCCTGTGCTCAGCCAACTTCCCCGGCGGAGTTGCCGTGAAAGGGCTTTGCCGGGCAGTGACTCCCCGCGGGGGTCCGGCTTCGGGATCGCGGAGGGTTCCCCCCCCCCCCGCCGCTTTTCGCGGTTTTGCGGCCCCATGCCGCGGCGATCCCAGAAGGACCTGTTGGAGCGGCGTGTTGGATGCGTGGAAACGCGTGAGCTCCGCGGCCACCCGTTAATTTTCCGGAGATTTTTTAATAGTGAGCCGTATCTCCCTCTGCACGTCCTCTCCATTGTGCGCCTTGAACTTGCCAGACACTTGTGCTTGGTGTTTTATCCCCTTTTTAATTCTTCAGGCTGCTGTATATCTGTAGATGGGCAAAAAACTTAGGGTTTTTTTTTTTTTTTTTTTGGTAGCAGGAGGCTGGTGAAGTTCAGGCAGCTTTAAAAGTATGAGCATGCTTGGTGTCTGCTTAACAGAGTCCTGGTTTTTCTGCCTTTTCCTGGCCTGGGTTCAAAACGAGTTTTAATAGTTGTTGTTTGTGCAAATATCCACGTGTGTTCAGTGTACGGATGGCAGAGTTACATCCCAAAAGAAATCCATTTATTTGGACCACTGAATTAGGGCAAAATAACTTGTTTCAA